GAGGTAATTGAGTGAGGGTGAGCGGTGGGAAAGTGGCCTTGGGCCTTCCAGATTCGTGGGGGGTACACACGGGCTCCATGAAGACGCGGGCTGCTCACTGCTATAAACACAGCGCCTGGGACCGTATCTGGCACAGAGTAGGTGTTCACTAAAAATTAGAATGAACGCATGATTAAACAGATCTTTCCAGAAGGTAATTTGGCAATGTAGAACAAAAAAACTTAAGAATGTGGGGGCTCTTGGGTGGCTCAGTCAGTTGAGTGGCTGACGTCAGCTCAGTTCATGATCTCTCAGTTCCTGAGTTCAAGCCCCACATGGGACTCCCTGCTGTGCGCACAGAGCCTGCTTCGGATGGATCCTCTGTCCCCCTTCCTCTCTGCCCCTCCCCCGCTCGTGCGCTTTCTCTCTCTCAAAAGTAAATAAACATTTAAAAAAATATATTTATAAGAAAACCCAAAAACTTAAGAATGTGTACTCTTTGGGGGCCAACACTCCGAATTTCAGGAATTTTCTTGCAAACATAGTTAAACTAGTTGTCACAGGTGTGTGTGCGAGCACGTTCTCGGAAACTTGTCCGCTCCCTCCCGCACCCACGCCGTGTGGGGGAGGCGGCACACAGACAGATACGTTTTCTGTTCTTATGGAGCATATTGTCCCGGGAGTGAGAGAGAAGCAAGAGGAAATCAAATGGGAGAGACAACCTGAGTCCCCATCATCCGGGGATGAAAGATGCCGTGCTGTGCAGCTGTGGGTCCACACGTCCTGACGTGGAAAGGCATCGCACCTCGGCTGTGCTGAGTGAGACAAAAATGTTCTAGGGTAAAATGTATCACAGGAGTTGACTTAAGTTGGAAAATATTTTCCCCCTTCACAAAGATGGTGCCAAAGGCGACGAAGGAAGCCCCTGCCCCACCCCCGTCCCCCGAAACCAAAGCCCGAGCAAAGGCTTTGAAGGCCAAGAAAGCGGTGCTGAAAGGCGTCCACAGCCATAAAAAAAAAAGAAGATCCACACGTCACCTACTTTCCTATGGCCCAAGACACTGTGTCTCCTAGGGCAGCCCAAATATCCTAGAAAGAGGCCCCCTAGGAGAAACCAGCTTGACCACTATGCCACCATCAAGCTCCCCCTTACTGCGGGGTCAGATATGAAGAAAATAGAAGACAACAACACACTTGTGTTCCTCATAGATGTCAAGGCCAACAAAGCACCAGGTCAAACAGGCTGTGAAGAAGCTCTATGACGTTGACGTGGCCAAGGTCAACACCCGGATCAGGCCCGATAGAGAGAAGACGGCATATGTTTGACTGGCTCCCGACCATGATGCTTTGGATGTTGCCAACAAAATGGGGATCATCTAAACTGAGTCCAGCTGGCCAAATCTAAATATAAATTTTTTCACCATTAGAAAAAAAAATTTTTTCATTTGCCTTGAAAGGTCTGTAAGGAACATTCTAGAAGGTCAAGAGTGGTTAATAGGTGCAGTTATTGTTTTTTTTTCTTTCTCTTGTACATTATTTGCAAGTTTTCCAATGAAGATGTATTATGTTTCTGGCCATAACACTTTTTAAATGTTCATTTATTTTGAGAGCGAGAGTGGGGGGCAGTGAGAGAGAGAGAGAGAGAGAGAGAGAGAGAGAAAATCCCAAGCAGGCTCCAAGCTGTTAGCACAGAGTTCAACGCAGGACTCGATCCCACCAACTGAGAGATCATGACCTGAGCCAAAATCAAGAGTTGAACGCTCAACCGACTGAGCCACCCAGGCGCCCCAAAACAATAACTTTTTAGTAGATATTATGATGAGTGGAAGGAGCCAGACATCAGAGAGAACATACTGCACAATTCCACTTGGGTGACGTTCAAGAACAGGCAAAACTAATCTATGGTAATAGAGGTGAGACTATTGGCTAGGTCTCGAGGTGGGGGTGGGTACTGGCTGGGAAAGGGCACGAGGGAACTTTCTGGGGTGGTGCGAATGGTGCTCACAGGGTACATACCTATGTAACCATGCGTCCAGCTGAACGCTTAAGATTTGCGCACTTTCCGGTATGTAAATGAAAGCTCGATACTGGAAAATAAAATTAAACAACACAAAGCACAACGCATCAGACTTAAAATAGCCAAGCGCAAGGATTCTAATTAAGACCCAGATGCCCGGCTGCCAGGAGTACTTACTTGGTGGGCGGAGCCCATGATGGGAACCCGAGGGGCCCCCTTTGCTGGTGGCGAGGGTCGTATCACAATCGAAAACAGAGCCCGTGCATTTCAGAGCAGATTAAGGAAGCTTAACCAGCCAGGCCACTCAACTCGTGCCACAACAATTTAATAGACACGTGTTCGGGCCAAAAAAACCAAATGGCCCCGAGTGACCAAAATAACCTAATCTCATGCAACCTGTCAGGGGGACAGAGAACAGGCCTCCGCTCCATCAGACAATTCCAGGAATCCAGGGTCAGAGAGAAGGTGATATCTGCTCCTGAAGCATTGTGGGGGCCTTGAGCCGCAGGCCGTGGACATCCTGCAGCGACGGCCACCGCTGTTCGATGCCAGGAGCAGGTTCAAGGCCCCAGGTTATCACTCAAGTCAGGTCTGGCGAGAGGGACCTGGCCCACGTGGCTGCAGGCAGGAAGGAGCCCCGTTTCTGCAGAATCTCCTTTCACCCAGAAATAACATCCCTTCTGACAGCTCAGTTTATCAGTGATAGCAGATTTTTTGAAAACAGTTAACAGCAGTTTCTACGGCTCACATGCCCACAGTCCACAAGGAGGGGCTGGCCTGTGGTGTCAGGGCAGCTGCTGTCCACACCTCTTCTCTGGGGGGAGGAGGCACCCTTCGAAGGACCTCTCCCAGTCTGGCTTCCTGTGGTCTGTAAGCTCCGAGAGGGCAGGGCCCGGGTTCACTTTCCCTCTCCTGCACCCCGCACCCCGGACCCTCTGTAGATCTCTGATTTACAAATGAGGGAATGTCCCTTCACCATCCCTTTCTGTCCTCACAACAACCTAGGAGACAAACAGTGCCGTTCCCATTTTACAGAGGAGGAAAATGAACGCAGGAGGTGATGCGGGCCACTCGAGCGGGACCCCGTTTCTCCTCCGAGGCCTGCAGGTTTCCCCGCCTCAGGACTGCTAACCACAGCTGTCCCAAACGCCCCTGCTCCAGCCTCGAAAAGTGAGGAGGACCCCGAGGGACCACAGCAATTTGGGAATTTTTCTTTCGTAGAGAAATAATTTTTCTTCTTACTTAAAAGTTCTGCAATCTCGTCCTCTCTTCTGAAGAAGTGTAGGTGTCACCATTTCCCCCAAATCGAATCAATAAAGATACTGCCGAGCAATCAAGCCTTTGATGACCACAGGGGAGTGGGGAGCCCCGTCTCCTTGGGCACTGGGACTGGGAACACACAGAGATGCAGCCTGGAGGTCAGCCTGGTAAACATCTCAAAACGTCTACGACCCAGAAATTTCACTAAAGGACACTCAGGGTAGAAGGAACAGCGTGAGCAGAGGTATGAAGGCTGGAGAGTTGAAGCACAGACGTTTGACCTGGCTCTTTGTTTCCAGAAGGAGGGAGCTGCTAGCCAAGCCCGGTGGCAGGATGGATCACCCCCATCAAGGACTGGGCTCAGCACTCAGTGAGCCAATGATCCTGGCTGGAGGAGGCCTGGGCCTGGAGCCCACTGAGGGGCGGGGGAGGGGGGTGGAAACTGACCCCTCAGCGTTTGGCCAGTGAGGGTTTGTTTTATTTCTCCAGTGCAATCTGGTGAAATTTGTATCTAGAGCCCATTTCACAGATGAGGAAGTTGACTTCGGTGAGGCTTCAGCAACAGGCCTGAAGTCATAATGCAATTAAAAAAACAAAACAAAAACCAGTTTGCACTCAGGTGTGTCCAATTCCCGATTTCAAGGTCATCCATTCATGCCCAAACCTCCCCGTGGCATCTCCACTGAGCAGTGAGACTCTGGGAACAACACGGGGTGTCGAAAGCCCTGCCCTCAGGGGACTCAGCATCCAGAGGGGAGGTCGAAAATGGGAAAAAGTATCCAGCTAAAGGCTTAGGGGCCTGAATCTTCCTCTGATAATGTGGGTCTTTTTGGGGGGATGGGGTTGGAAGTTCGGGGCAGGGGCGGAAATGGAACCCAGCGCAGCCCATTCGGGTGCACGTGCTCGTTTTAGGGCATCTGCCCAGAGTTTTCTACAGGTCCTGCGTCAGGTCTGTGTTGGCCCCAGATGAACTGTGGGGCCTGGGCCAGCCTCCTCACCTCTGCCTCAGTTCCCTTCAGTGCTGAACAGGGGTAACTCTGAACCTCGGAAGGCCGTCGCAGATATCATGATGTGAATCGGGGGGCTCAGATTTTCCTGCCCGAGGCCGGGTGGCTTAATTCATTGGTAGGAACTTTTCTTGGGTCTCTTCACCAACACCCGGTCCCTCCTTGCCACCTGCAGATGCTTTCCTCCTCACTCCCTCGTCTGGTGCAACCGCCTCTGGCAGTCTGAGGGGGTGAGGGGTCAAGTGTGTGGGGGCCGGAGGGAGGATCGAGGGCTTATTACATTAGGGTCCATACGCTCACACGGTTCTGTTAAATTCCATCTCGTCAAAAGCACTGCCAGGCGAGGTGCGTGGACCCTTCTCGATGGAGAAACCAAGGCCCAGGAGCCCTAAAGGCCGAGCTCAGGTCCAGAAGAGATGGTCAGGTACGTACTCAGACCTTTTCTTCTGAGAGAGAGGGGCCCCAGGGCTGGGAGAAGTCTGGGTATTTTAGACGCGTGCTCATACAGGGAGCTGTTCTTTTCTTGGTCCTTCCCAGTCCTCACTGGCCACCTTCCGTGGCCAGACCCATGCCAGGCCCCCGGGGGGCACAGCCGTGAATAGTCACAAGCAGTCGGAGAGGGAGACAGGTGATCGGCCAGCCTCCTATGATGGGCTCCCTGACCTCCAGCTGCACTTCTCGGCCTCCACCACCCACGGCAGTCGCCCGCACACCCCGCCTTCCCCCACCGATGGTGCACAGCTTGCCTGCCTCCAGCTGCCCCAAGACAAAGGGCAGCAAACTCGGAGTCCCCCAGACCTGGGCTCAGATCCCCTCTGGCACCAGCTGGCTCCCTCCATGGTGCAGGTTTCCCCATATGAGCAGTACTGAGCAGGACGGGATACGAATGTGTGCGGTTGGCTCACGGGCACTTGGAGGTGGGGGGTGGGGGGACAGGACCCCATCTCTCTCACTGGCTTTGTGTCTGTCCTGGGGCCTTAACATGGGGGGGAGAGCATTTCCCATGAATCTGAGATTTGTCTGGAGAGAAGGTTTGGACTCTAGACTCTCTCTTAACCCCCATCCCAACCCATCAAACCTCAGTCCTGCCATGGGGTAAACACACACACACACACA